AGACCATCTTTTGATAGATTTCTTCATCTCTTTGCCACCCTTCTTTTCATTCGAAGATGAAAACATGCTTTCCCACAAGATCTTTGTTTGCACCATAGTTTAGTGTTATGCACAGACCTGACTCTGATGTCAACTGAAGGTGTGGAAAAGTACACAAGAAGGAGGTTGAATTGTGTTATTTTAAAAATATTTCTACTCTAAACCGAGTTCAGATTCTAAATATAAGTTAAGAACCTGACAACTAGTGCAGCGGAAAACATAGTAGAAGTTACATAAATAGAACAATGAACAAGACAAAATTATTCTGGTTCGTCCAAAACTGAAAGTAGTTCAGTCCCCTTGTTGCGCAAGAGATTTTCCATTATAATCAATTCATAATTACAACTGCTTATGCATTCAAGCACAAGATTTTCTTCTGCTCAGACCTACTGTCTAAGACTTTCTTGCTTAATCAGCACCTGATCAAGACTTCTTCTTAGATCCTCATATCCTAAGACTTCCCTTGCTTAAACCCACCTTGTTCAAGACTTCCTTGCTTAGACACTCTGCCTAAGACTTTTGCGCTTAGACCTCTGGTCCAAGACTTCCTGCTCAAGCTTCTTAACAAGGTATTTTGATGCTTAAGCATATAGCAAGAGACTTTATCTAAACTGCTGAACAACATGTTCAGAAGAATAAAGAACAAGGTGTATATGATATGATATCGAGGTACAGGTAATCACCTTAAAAATACCCTAAGCACTTATGATTTTTTATAAAAAAAATAATTTTTTGAGAAATCTTAAGGCTTTTTACAATTTACAACAGATGACAGAAAACTTCTGCATACTCGTTTGTGTTGCTTATTACTGATCTTGTTATTTCTTCATTTAGACAGAGGTACAAAATACTTCTACCCTCCGTGACATTAATTCTTATTTTTATTCCTTGTTTAAGATTCAATTTGAACGTCCAACTACTTATATAACAGTTATAGAAGACTAGCCGCTGGAAGAGATAATTTGATCAAATGTCTTTGCTTTCTCCATAGTACAAGAGAAGTTGAAGATAGATACACCAAAAGATCTTGATCTATTGTGTAACATGTTTAACCATTGCGTCTTGCATAAGATTTTGTACTATAGAGCCGTTGAGAGTAGATATTTGTAAAGCATGTCAACTCTTCTTGAACCTTGTGATCTTAGATTCTAGCTGACAAACTGATTGACAATGCAACTTCTTCCAGCAGTACGGATAGCTTCAACTTTATCACTAACTCTGAATGATCACCATAAGCTAATTACATTCACCAAGTGTAGATGTAATAAGGATTGCCCTTTGAAGATGATACTGGTGAGCAAACAATGGGCTTCAAAAAGGGTCCCAGAAGAAATGGGAAGCATGGGAAGCTGAAGAAGCGAAAGGCATGTCTCTCTGATTTTGATCCTTCGAAATTGTTGCATGAAAACATAAATAATAATACACTTTTTTATAATTATACACCAATTATTTTGAACTATTTATTAATTAAACGTCACTGTCTTAGTATTGTACAGATCTAATGTTGTGTGACAAATTTATAGAATATATCATAGTATGTGATGAACCTCATGGATGCTCCTTAAAATCTAAGGTTAACCTTTAGCTAATAAATAGTTTTATTGGGATCCATATCTTCCAAATACCTGTTATCTTTTGCCTCTGGAGTAAGCATGATTATTTGGTTATTGGTCTAGTAACAGTTGTCATTTCACACTCAAAACCAATTTCTGGTTATGACTAATTTCTACTCTATTCACCATTTATGCATAGATTATTTTGAACTATGTAGTATGTACTATACAACATAATCGTAACTGGTTTGAAGATTACCATGGCAAGAAATATAATCAAAATTCCCTTGAAACATATTATTACTCACTTTTAAAATTGAACTCCTTCCTATGTGCACTTTTCCTTTACTTTTTGTCTGACAACTTTTAATTCAAAAGTTATGAAGCAAAAAGTGATATTTCCTCAAGCTGTGTTCTTTTCCTTTCATCTACTCTTGGCATTCTGTGTCTCTGCGTGTAATACATATTCATATGTTGTGTGCAATTCAGTTTGTCGAATAATATTTCAATTTTGGATTCCTTGCAGAGGAAACATTGACGAAAGAAAATTTGGGGTTCGGCCTACTACCGGAATACTGTTATTTGGAAACACTGCATGCTGTTGGAGAAGTAATGCAAGGGTGTGTCAAAGCCCGAGTTGGATTGGTGTATTCTTCACTCATTGGCTTTTATGGTTCTCTTGGATTCCTATATGTGAGGTGTGGAACTGTGGCTAAACAACTAGGAATTGTAGATTTAATTTTTGTTATTATCACAGTCATCATCGAAATTGGCTCGTGCTTAGTTCATTGAGAACTTGGATTTGAGATTTTAGAGGAAATGAAATTATTGTTTATTGGCTGATGTATTTTATTTTAAACAAGTAGGGATTGGAGATTTTGGTTGTTTCATTATTTTGCTATTATGATTATTGTTTATTATTATTATTATTATCATAATCATCATCCTAATATGTTGGGGGTGCTTCTACATGAAAATTTCTAAATTTCCCATAAAAAATGCAGATTAGGATTTTGAGAAAAAATAAAAGCACCGGGGAAATGCTGATATCAACGGGTATTGTATGCAGTAGATTTCAAAACGAAGGTACGGATACTTATTTATTATGGGGGTAAATTTGATAGGGACTGCCTAGTATACTACATGGGGGGGGGGGGGAACAAGCATGCAGTGAAAATAGATCTTGATAGGTGAAGATTATTTGAAGCAATAAGTATTGTGAATGAGTTAACTGGGTTTGAGCATACCGATTATTGGTTATGGTGGTATAACAGTGATGCTGATAGGAATGGTTAGTGACACAAATGTTTCTAATGTATATCAATATGTTATGAAAATGAAGTGTGTGAGAGAGAGCATTAAATTGAGTTTAAATAATGCATACAGTATCAAGAGAAATGGCGCCTTTTTTTTTCTTTTTTTTTTTAATTTGAATTATTTTAATAATAATATGAAGTATTGATTATTTGAGAATTTAAATAAATAAAAATTGATTATTTAAAAAAATCTGACTTTGCACTGTATTTAACAGTGCACTCAATTAATATAAAAATTAAGTATAAAGTGCAATATATATATATATATATATATATATATATATATATATATATATATATATATATATATATATAATAGTGAACTCAATTAATATAAAAATTACGTAGAAAGTGCACTATATATTTTTATTTAGTTAATATTATTATTTATTAAATCAACGTAAATATTAAATTATTAATTAAATAGTAATCAAATTAATTAATATGATATAAATCTTAAATATAATTAATGTAATAATTCTATTTTTTAATTTGATTACTATTTATTAAATCAACGTAAATTTAAAAATATTCATTAATTAATTACTAAATATTAATCAAATTAAACTAATAAAATGTAAATATTAAATATATTTAATGTAATAATTCTTTTGGATCTAACCTAGCAATTATACAGCCTCCACGCCGCTCGTTCATCCTCTGCTGATTCCTCTTCACTTCCGCCGTAATTCTTCACCATCCTACCTCCTTCCGCCGTAATTCTTCACCATCCTACCTCCTTCCGCCGTAATTCTTCACCCTTGTCTTTCTAGTTTTTTTCTTCAAAACACTTTAATCACAGCAAGCACAAAACTCCGTGATGGCAGCTACTTGCGCCGCGCGATTCTCGTGAAATACTCCCGAGGCAGCCGCGACAGTGGTTCCCGCCATCATTAGTCGCCTTTAATAACTACCTAGTTTACACTTTATTATTCTCTGGTTTTGTAATCCTTCTCATTTTAACAGCTCTCGAATATTGCTTGCAGTTTTAGAGGTTGTTGAACACTGTGACAAAAACATGGAGAAACCTGAAAATCATCTCAATAATGACGATATCACTGAAAAGTATGCTTATGCATTTGTTTTTGCTTATTTATGCTTCAATTATTGTACGCATAGTTTTTGTTTTAATCTCAATACATACTTAGGTCAATGAATTTGAGATTTCTAAGATTAGGTTAGTTCATTCAACATTCAAATTATTCAATTTATTTTTATTACTGTGTTTTCAGAGAAGCATCTCAGCTTGCTGCATTGTTGAAAGAGATGAAGGAAGGGCTTGATAATGTTAAGCGGAAAATTCAAACTTTAACTGCCAAGGTTCAAATACACTTTTCGGACTTTTGGTTCATCGGTGAGTTTCATTATATGATAGCAATAAATAAGTTGATTTTATTTTGTGCGTGTGTCTCTTATATCAGGTGAAAGCTCAGAGTTCTACAGTAGATGGATTCAGTTATCTTGATGCTAAAAATTTGCTGCTTTTGAATTATTGTCAATCCCTTGTTTATTATCTATTGCGAAAGGCTAAGGATATTCTATAGAAGAACATCCTGTAGTTCGAAGTATAGTTGAGATAAGATTATTTTTAGAAAAGGTCGGTTTTATTCTTGTGTGTCAGCTTTGTATGTTTACATTAGACAACGTGGATCTGACAACCAGCTTTCTGTTGCAGATTCGTCCAATTGACAAAAAAATGCAATACCAAATCCAGAAAGTTATTAAAGCTAGTGAAAAGTGCAGCAAGTAATGCAATGAGAAGGTGCCGGCTGCATCCAATAAGAGTGAGGAGGACGCTTCAAAGTATCGTCCAAATCCTGGGAATCTTATTAGCAAAATACAACCAACCGCCCAGGTGAGTTTATTTAATAATATCAAGTGAAAATTTGAGGTGCAAAAGATATTTGTCTTCTGTCTCTCTAACTTAATTAATTTATACTATAGGACGGCGATGGTGACGACGTGTATCATCCTCCTAAATTGGTCCCTACTTCTATGGATATAGGATAAATCTTCAAAGCAAGAAAGAAATGCCATCCGAAGAGATAGAGAAATTCTGAAACATGCTCAGCAAAGTGATTTCATCAGAAGAATGGTGAATGATATGGAGGAAAGACCTGAAGAGGTGACATTATTAGTGTATTTTGGGTGTGGAAATCATAACAACTTCATGAGTTAATGTAATGGTTTGTGTTTGTTGCTTACTGCACAGATACGTGATTTTATGGGAACTAGCAGAGAAGTGGATAAGTTTGCTCGCAAATTCGACGAGCGGTCTAGGCAAGAGGAGGAAATATTCAACCGTCTTCCTATGACAAAACAGGAGAGGAAGAAAGAGAAGTACATGAAGAAAGCAACAAATGGGTATGTGGAATGCCTGATATTTTGCCTTTATAAAAGCATCAAATGCGCGAAGGCAATTTTACTTGTTTTCTACTTACACTTACATCTGTCTTAATTTTTTCCAGGATGCAAGGCCTGACAGAAAATTTATTTGATGAAATCAAAGGATTGCCCTTTGAAGATGATACTGGTGAGCAAACAATGGGCTTCAAAAAGGGTCCCAGAAGAAATGGGAAGCATGGGAAGCTGAAGAAGCGAAAGGCATGTCTCTCTGATTTTGATCCTTCGAAATTGTTGCATGAAAACATAAATAATAATACACTTTTTTTATAATTATACACCAATTATTTTGAACTATTTATTAATTAAACGTCACTGTCTTAGTATTGTACAGATCTAATGTTGTGTGACAAATTTATAGAATATATCATAGTATGTGATGAACCTCATGGATGCTCCTTAAAATCTAAGGTTAACCTTTAGCTAATAAATAGTTTTATTGGGATCCATATCTTCCAAATACCTGTTACCTTTTGCCTCTGGAGTAAGCATGATTATTTGGTTATTGGTCTAGTAACAGTTGTCATTTCACACTCAAAACCAATTTCTGGTTATGACTAATTTCTACTCTATTCACCATTTATGCATAGATTATTTTGAACTATGTAGTATGTACTATACAACATAATCGTAACTGGTTTGAAGATTACCATGGCAAGAAATATAATCAAAATTCCCTTTGAAACATATTATTACTCACTTTTAAAATTGAATTCCTTCCTATGTGCACTTTTCCTTTACTTTTGTCTGACAGCTTTTAATTCAAAAGTTATGAAGCAAAAAGTGATATTTCCTCAAGCTGTGTTCTTTTCCTTTCATCTACTTTTGGCATTCTGTGTCTCTGCGTGTAATACATATTCATATGTTGTGTGCAATTCAGTTTGTCGAATAATATTTCAATTTTGGATTCCTTGCAGAGGAAACATTGACGAAAGAAAATTTGGGGTTCGGCCTACTACCGGACTACTGTTATTTGGAAACACTGCATGCTGTTGGAGGAAGTAATGCAAGGGTGTGTCAAAGCCCGAGTTGGATTGGTGTATTCTTCACTCATTGGCTTTTATGGTTCTCTTGGATTCCTATATGTGAGGTGTGGAACTGTGGCTAAACAACTAGGAATTGTAGATTTAATTTTTGTTATTATCACAGTCATCATCGAAATTGGCTCGTGCTTAGTTCATTGAGAACTTGGATTTGAGATTTTAGAGGAAATGAAATTATTGTTTATTGGCTGATGTATTTTATTTTAAACAAGTAGGGATTGGAGATTTTGGTTGTTTCATTATTTTGCTATTATGATTATTGTTTATTATTATTATCAACTATCTACCCATTACAATCAAATGCCACCATTTTTACTAATTCACCTTTCACTTCATTTTTACTTAAGACTACACTATGTCCTTTTAGGTAATTTACAAAATACACAACCATTGACCAATAGCATGGTCCAATTTTGCCAAGTGGCAGCAATTTTTTTGAAAACTTTGTCTTCCCTCTTTCCCTCACTTTCTCCCTCTTTTCAATTTTCTTTCTCTCTCTTTTATATCGTCTCCCTCTTTCTCTCACCTTCTCTCTCTTTCTCCTACCCTCCCTCTTTCATTCTCGTCATTGCTCCCTCTCTCCCGTTTCAATCAGTTCTTCCTTCTATTATGCAACCACTTTATTCTCCAGCTTGAATCCTAATACATCTCTACGTAAGTGCATCACTTTATTTTAACCCTAAAAAACCCTAAACTGACTCCCGCCTTCTCCCTCGTCTCCCTTATGCTTCATTTCACAATTTTCTCTCTTCTCTCTATTTTCTCTGCGATCCTATAGTTAGTGAAGCACATGTATGTTTTCTGTTTATCAATTCTACATATATGGGATATTACTTAACTTACCACTTGATGTTAAAATCACACATTAGTTATTTGTAGAGGGGTCACGATTTTTCTTATATGATTCAGTATAAAAAAGTATTGAATTTGATCTCAATGGCTAAGAGTGAGGGTGCAACAATTTTGACTGGTGGGCGTCGACCTAAGGTATGATTATACCCTCGAATGTGGTATTGAATTTGGCTTAGTTGTGATTTGTAATTCGTTGAAAGAATTTAGCTTAGTTGTGATTTGTAATTTGTGGTGTTTAGTTATTTAGCAGCAATGATGATTAACAATAAATCACAGTATTCCTTAGCATCATTTAACGGTGGCTTGTGAGATCTTTGGATTGAAAAGCATAGCCGCATACCGCAGTGGCCTAGAAATCAATACAAATGTGACTAAACAGGATGCCGAGGAGGGTCTCACGCAGGTGTTACTTGGTGAGTTGAATATGAAAATTGGTTTTAAATAGTTGTGTTTTGTTGTATTCATATACTAATCATTCTACATTTTCAGCCGGGAAGCCTATCCGTATTGCTAACAAAAATCTTATTGACTACATCTTCTTGCAAAGTTTGGAAGTTGCTCAATCCTATGACTTGCCAATGTAGATACACACAGGGTAATGAATGGTTTTCAATTGTCTGATACGCATGTTATTACATAGTTTCGGCTTTCCTGTAAATGTACTTTTACTTTTACCGAAATACTAAACTTTCCTTTCTGTAATTAGGTTTGGGGATAATGATTTGGATATGCGACTGTCGAATCCTCTTCATCTCCGATCAGTTTTCAAGGACAAGAGATATTCAAAATCTCGGATTGTTCTTTTACATGCATCTTATCCATTCTCAAGGGAAGCATCATATCTAGCATCTGTGTACTCCCAAGAAAACATTTTATAACTTAGTTAGTTGTGTTAGTAGTTTCGAATATGTATTACATGTTCACTCGCAAGTAACAATCTTCTCATTCAGGTTTATCTTGATTTTGGGTTGGCAATTCCAAAGCTTAGTGTACATGGCATGATTTCATCACTGAAAGAGCTTGTAGATCTGGCTCCAATAAATAAGGTAACATTATAAGCAATTATAAGAATTATTCACGATTTTCATATAAATGTATCTTGCATAATAGCCAAAAGAATATATGTACATAATGGATTGATTTGTTTAAGCTTATTTCCATGTCTCACGAAAACGAACTTTGTATTGCAGGTGATGTTTAGTACCGATGGCTATGCGTTTCCTGAAACATACTACTTAGGTTGGTTAACTTAACCGAAAATGAAGATTATACTTGAGTGCATTCTTGTGATTGTTGAATTATTGCTTGAGGTTCTTGTCTGAAAGATGAGTGCCACAGTTTAATTTTGTTGCAGACCATAACGAGTTCTGTATTCACAGGTGCAAAGAAGTCTCGCGAAGTTGTTTTCTCGGTTCTGCGTGATTCGTGCATTGATGGCGATATCTCAGTTTCCAAGGCTGTTGAAGCTGCAAAAAATATCCTTGCTAGAAATGCAATCAATTTCTATAAGATTAATATTTCTAACAGTGCTGTTAGTTCACATAATATCTTACCCCTAAATGTGATTGATGACTTAGAGAGTGATGTTTCATTTGTTCGTATAATATGGGTTGATAATTCAGGACAACATAGATGCCGCGTGAGTTCCCTCTACCGTGTTCATGTCAATATAGACAGTTTAGAGATTTTTTATATTTATACTTGAAGTTTTTTCTTGACAAAATGATAATATTTTGATAGGGAGTAACAAAACAAATTGGAGGTCCTATGCATGAATTAGCTGCGAAAGTTGACGAGTATGCTTGTGGTATGATCAGTGGTTCTGGATCAACACTTTTTGAAGAGCTTGGACTCTATTATATTGGCCCTGTATTGATCCATGTTGTCACCAAAAAAGGCCGTGGATATCCATACGCAGAGAAAGCGGATGACAAGTACCATGGTAATGGACCTTATCTATTCCTGTTCGCTAAATTCCTCTTTGATAGTGTCTATTCTTGATATTGTATAGTTAATATAGAATTTGAAAAGGGGATAAAATCATCGTGTAAAGATCTATTTATATTTTTCAGATTAATAGAGCAACTGCTATATTAGAAAAAACTGGTTTGATCAAGTATGATAGGAAGAGTGGATATTTTGAAGTCACAAATATTGGTATGAGATTTTCTTTTCAGTTCAACCATGTGATATTTTGATTTGGATTTGATTTTGGCAATTCATTTTGAACCAATAGGAATGGCTGTTGGGAGAGATCTGAAGGGAAGAAAGAATGATGTAGTTGCTGTTATTGGTGATGGTGCTATGATAGCTGGTCAAGCTTATGAAGCTATGAACAATGCTGTATATCTTGATTCTGACATGATTGTTATCTTGAATGACAACAAACAAGTTTCACTACCAACTGCTACTCTTGATGGACCGGCGGCACCTGTAGGAGCTTTGAGTAGTGCACTTAGTCGGTTACAGTCAAACAAACCTCTTAGAGAATTGAGAGAGGTTGCCAAGGTGAGTAATAATATCATCTGATGAGTTACCTCAAATGCGGCAAGTAAAGTATACTTGAAGCTTTTTCTTGACAAAATGATAATATTTTGATAGGGAGTAACAAAACGAATTGGAGGTCCTATGCATGAATTGGCTGCGAAAGTTGACGAGTATGCTCGTGGTATGATCAGTGGTTCTGGATCAACACTTTTTGAAGAGCTTGGACTCTATTATATTGGCCCTGTTGATGGTCATAACATTAATGATTTAGTCGCCATTCTCAGAGAAGTCAAAAGTACTAATAGTACTGGTCCTGTATTGATCCATGTTGTCATCGAAAAAGGCCGTGGATATCCATACGCAGAGAAAGCGGATGACACGTACCATGGTAATGGACCTTATCTATTCCTGTTCATAATTCACGAAATAAATAGGTCACGTGTTGGTTTCAGATATTTAATGTGATACTCTCAATTACTATCCATCTTTTTTCCTTGAGAAGCATATTCAATTATCTCAAATGAAAATCTATTTGTTTCGTGACCTATATGCTTTGACTTGCTATATTCCTCACAGATATGTGAGTTGGTTTTATTTTGTAGGAGTTGCCAAGTTTGATCCGCCAACTGGAAAGCAATTCAAAGCCAAAGCTGCTACGCAATCTTTACATAACATATTTTGCAGAGGCTTTGATTGCAGAAGCTAAAGCTGACAAAGACATTATCGCAATCCATGCTGCGATGGGAGGTGGAACTGGCATGAATCTCTTCCATCGCGGATTCCCAACAAGATGCTTTGATGTTGGGATAGCGGAACAACATGCCGTTACATTTGCCGCAGGTCTAGCTTGTGAAGGCCTAAAGCCTTTTTGTGCAATTTACTCATCGTTCTTGCAAAGGGCCTATGATCAGGTAGACTAAGAACTTCTCTCCCAAAATACAAAAAAAATTACGTAGTACGAGTTCTTTACTTTTAATTTTCAGGATATGATTAGTTTATAGCACTATACCATATAAACTTTGAAAATTGTAATCAGTGCTAATCTTCACCTTTATACAGAATACTACTATAAGTTGATATAGCTAATTTTCATCAATTCACATTTCCATACCTTCAATTCCTGTCATTTATGGTTTTATTGGTGATAATCTCATATTGATGTATTATGTGTCCTGTGTTTGGTAATTGTTTTTGTTACAACCTCTGCACGCATCTGCTCATCTTGGTTCCATCAAATTGTTTATACGACTTATGAATTGCAGAGGCCATTCAATTTCAAATATTTTCTAATTTTGTATCCGGATCAAATGGTTTACATGTGCGCTAGATTTTGATCAAGATTTTACAAGGCGTTTGATTTTGATCTGAAGACCAGAAAAGCAGAATTTTATAATTTAAAAAATAATCAACTTAAATCAAGAATGTCTAATGCTAATCAAACGGTTCCTGCTGCATGATAGTGTGACTGCGTGCCTTTTCGACTGCAGGGAATCTTGATCCTGCTTGTATCAGGGTTTCGTTGGTTTTTGTTGTCATTATTGAGCCTCTGGTTTGTCTGTGCACAGGTAAAAGAAATAACCCATCTACATATTTGCTGCTCATTTTAGTTGACGTGAAATCATTGCTGGATAGTGGATACCCTCTGTGCCAGTGCATTTTTGTTTCTTTCTCAAGAAAAAGAAATATTGTGATTTTGATTTTAATGCAATTTTTTTTGTAGGAATGATGCCTATTCCTGATCTTATACTAAGATTTGAGAACGAGTGTCGAAACGTTTCAGAATCTATCAGGTTTGTTCACTATTAGTCGGTGTAATCATACGTGTAGAAATTTTATCATGCAAACTTCATGACATATATGCATGAGTAATTTTATTAGCTCATGATTGGCCTACAGGCTCTATATCTTGACATTTATGTGCCATCTCTGTGATTGAGAGACCTGAATATGTCCTTTCTTTCATTTTAGGCTGTTTTAGCTCTAGACTTCATTATTTGTGTATTTATTGAGTAACATGTTTATTGGAATTCTCTGGTGGGTCTTCTGTTTAAGTTTTGTACACCAGGAGAATGAAAGAAAATGTGAGAAAATCAGAGGTTTTCTGTATGATCTGAAAAAGTAAAACTGAATTGAATCTGAAAAAGTAAATCAGAGGTTTATTAAGAAAATATAACTATTCAATCATTCATCTTAGGGGATGAAGATAGTTGTACATTCATGAGTCACATACTTTTTCATAAACGCTTTTAGAATTATCGATTTGTGGACTGTGAAGGAGAGGAATGGCCAGTTGCACATACAGCTGATCATTCAAGATGCAAAGGTTATAAACACGTAATTACTAACAAATGTTTCTCATTCTATTTCTTATCTTAACCATCAACTAATCATAGTTATCAATTCTATATAGGATCATCAAATCCAAGTCATTACACGCCCGAGAGATTACAAACATTGGGTGGATGTCTTGACTGAACATGAATCGTGTACATTGTATAATGGTGAACCATTGAAAAATGATTTGCCTTTCAAGGCTTGTGAAAATAATCTAAAACTTATTTTCACCAGTGCAACCACCATGTGTAAGCATCTGAACCAGGATATACTGCCACACCAATATGATTTCAAATCTATCACCGATTTTCTTAAAATTCAAGCCTGACCACTTATTATGGTAATTGTAACTTTTGATGTTCACTCTGTTTTTGTATTTTTCTTTCTTACTTTGCCTTTACTCATTTTGTTTTATTTCAATGTTGATGCTAACATGATAGATGGCGATGGCGGATGGTCTCCCGGAGATTCGACAGTGGTGGCGTCGAGAGTTTGAGGGCGGTGGCTGTTTGGAGCTCGCGGTGGGTCGAAGGGTGGTTCGCGGAGGGAGAAAGGCGAAGATGAGTCTCCTTTAACTTCTCTTCTCAACAATTTTAGGTTTCTTTTGGTTTGGGAATTTTTGTGGCATTTGAATCGAGGATTTCTGTGGATGTTGGATTTCTGAGAACTGATGTGTGTTGGGGTTTTTTCTCGTGAATTTTCTCGTGGATTCCCCCTCCTTTTATAATCAAACTCTTGATTGCCAATTAAATGCGTTGATGGATTTGTGATTTCCTACTGAATTTCCATAACTTCTTTCCATTCTCGTTTTGGGAAGAAAAATCAGTTTGTCTGAACATGCTTGTCTGAGATTAGAAACGGTTTAAGACTCTGTCGACCCTACTTTAGGAAAATTTTAATTGTGGTCTGATTTGTGTTTGACAGGTCAGAAGGCTCGTGAAGGATGTTAGATTTACGGTTTCTTGGCTCACTTACGCGGGGGATTCACGCATTTTCAACAGAAAGAGAGAAAACTGGAAGTTGCTTGTATCATGCCTAAGAAGATTCACTAGTTGACATACCATTCACAAGGTTGGGACTTTCTCCCCATCTTTCCTTGCCTTGGCCATACGGCTTCATTATGATGCTTACATGTTATAGCCATGATTTATCTGATATCTTCAAGGACTGAAACAAAATGAATTGCAAATTTGCAGGGGTTTTCTATTCTCAAATTCATTATTTTTATGTGATACAACTTCATCTTCGTTTTCAACTAATGGTGAGTGGATTGTTCTGGTTGCAGGTTATGATACCGTTGCTCAAGCTGGTGTCGAAGTATATGACGGTAATTAATGCTATGGGATACCTCAGAAGTCCAGCCTTGGAATTACTTTGTCAACACAGGGTTTATGAATTCGTGCAACCCACTGCCCATTTTGAGTATCCGGTATATCTTATCAACAACCTTCAATACCTGTCTATAAACACTGGTAATTTCAAATGATTATCCCGTTTAAGAAATAATGTTAAACTTCAACCTTGTGCAGGTTTCAGGTTATACTCTTGATTTCCTATAGCTTTAGTCTTGCAGTGATTCATAATTTTGGATGTCAGTGGTCATACCAGTCTGAATCAGAGGTTCCAAAATAGTTCTCCAAATTCAAAGTTACCAGCAATTTGTTCCAGATGTTCAACAGCAATCCTGGAAGCCGTTTCGTATCCCTCAACAATCTTAATGGGGTGAACTCCGCGTTACAAGAGCCTCTTGGCTTGCTCAATAAGAGATTCAGCCAACACAGCAACACCGGTAGCACCATGATCTTCAAGACTACGGTATCTCCCTACGGTAATAATATCCTTTATTTCACTAGTAATTTCTTTGGTAGTCGATATTTCATCGTCACTGTTATAATCTATCTTGTCAACAGCTCCAATGCATCTCTCTGCCGTTTCAGTTGTTGATCCTCAACATTCTTCCTCTTCTTGTCGAAAGGTAGTTTTCATAATCAAATGCTAGATAATTCTTTCCATTTTGCTGCTAATGCCTCGTGTGCCTGAAACATTTGGATTCACTTCTTTCTGAAACGCAGGCACTCGTTGAGAAAGCTTTCTGAAGAGACTTAATCGCGTCGAGCCAGAGTCGCGTCAGCTATAACAGGTTGGGTACTTTGAATTGTTTTAGCATTAATAGCATGATGCCTTGATATTTGAATCGTGACACTGTACTATTAACCTTACAAATTCCGTTGGCAGGACAGGGTACAGATGAGAATTTGTTAATCACTTAGTTTGAAAAGGAGCTGCAAGGTTGGCTGGAGCGTGAATCGGGTACAATCTCTTAGTCGCTCTTCAGAATAGTCTGCGTAGTGCTCTTATCCAAGAACTGATCTTCTTCTTCTTTGTTGCAGAAACGGTCTTGTTGGTGCTGATTCTTGTAGGTAAAAATGTCTCAAGAAGTTGTGCTTTAAACTCCTCCAAAACTAAAGGTCTACATATTGTTCAGCTGATTGAAAACATATAGGAATTTCCTTTAATTTGTTAACATCTCGGTTTTCATTTCTCTTGCAGATGACAAACCAGCTACTGCAAGATAATCTATTTCAAGAATAGGTTTACCAATCATCCAAACTCGGTAGCTTGAATCTATTGCGACAGAAGAAGTAGGGAGTCCCGGTGGTGTCATCAAATGAGTTGGGGATCATTGTCTGTTCCTCTTCGAATCCTCTTATTGAACATGATTTGCAATAATCAAGGATTACGGCTCTGTTGATGATTTGCGTTGTCATAATTGCAGGGATAACAATATTGTTGGCTTTTAAAATAACGGAAAGACGGTGGCGACCTCCTGCAGTGCAGAACACAATCGGTGCAAAGGGTGGTTTCAGACCATACAAAGTCTTCTTCTACTTGTTCAAGATTTGGAAAGGGTGAGACTTAATAACTATGCACTTGTCCTCCCTCTTTAATTAAACTCCTTTTGACTGTTATTTCAATGTTGATTGATTGTAGCAAGCTGGAGGTAGGGGATTTTGATGCGTGCAGATTCTTTTGGCGAGCCCGACATGCTTGCCGATAGTATCAAGGACTTGCAAGGGTAGAGCTTCTAAACTGTTCTCCAATTGTTCCTTCATCAGGGCTAACCATGGACAGTGAAGTGCGGTCACTGATAAGTGTTTCATGCCGGTAAATTCTTAGAAGAGTGTCTTTTGCCTAATTCTTCCCGAACGTGACTTATCTGGTTAACTCCCTCTAAATTACCTTCTCAAATTGCAGCTTCAGGTGTAGAACCGTTACCGCTCGATAATGACATATCTTTGCAAGAGCAGAAGTAGCGCACGCACTAGGCCAGGTTCGATTCTGATCTTCTATAGAGGAACTTAGATAGAAAGGTCAGTATTTGATGGTGATGGAGTCTTGATTGTAACGGTCAGAAAACAACTTTGATACATTGTATAGGTTTGTTTCTTAGAACCTTTCATTATTTCCGTCTGGTGTTTTGTAATGAATTGAAGGTGTATGTATGTGAATCTGTATGCGTTTATATCTCTGCGTAAAGAATTCTCTATGCTATGACCACTATTTCGGTTTTCTGTCATGCTCTTCCCTCAGTTATGAATAAGTTCTTCTTTGATCACCCTTGCCTTAATCTAATTTCCTCCAATGGTTTCCTTTTGACAGGTTGAAAGAACTGTAGCGGTATGCCGGCAGTGGTGTTGTAGTATTCTGAACTTGGTAGTACGCCAGTAGTTTAGAAGAACCAAACTTAGTTCAAGGCTGTCCGGTTGAAAGTCTACATCAAGTATCGCGACGAATGCAAAGTTCTTCCCAGCTCATTGCAGCGTTTAGACATCTAACTTTATCATTCACCACATAGAAGTTTGACAAAAACTCGGCGCCGTTTCCTCGAAGGCTTCGGTTGGAAACTGGAGTCTTTCTTTGTTTTCTTTTCAATTGATTTCAAATGTTGTAAATTAACAAAATGCCTATGGAATTGTGAGAACATTACTGGATTCAAATGTTAAGATGGGCCTAGATTTCCAAAGGATTCCCGTGAGACATATATGTGTCATGAGTTAGTTTTACGTGTTTCTCCATTGTATCGGAATATATAAATTGGTATGTTAAAGTAGGGCACTACACAAGTATAAAATTGAATAAGCTTTGAAAATCCTCCTTTTGTAAGAACTGAATGTTGAGTTTGGACAATTGGTGCAGGCTTTTGAATTTGGAGGGACACATACAAAACTCATTATCTTTTGCCTTGAGAGTTTTTTTATTTCGCCCAAACTTGATTCACGTTTTGTCTGAACTTCAAAACAATACTCTCACACACCACCAATTATGAATTCTTTTCTTGGAGTTTTATAAAAGTCATGACCCCCTCTTAAATGACTATGTCTATCCCCAAGAAGAGTCTAAATCTTCGGGAGTAAGAGCCAAAGCTCTTATGGGATGCTGACAAAACCAAAAGAAGACCACATAATCAAACTGAATCAGGCTCAAACTGACTATGTCTTTGTAGTTGAGAATGAACTCTATCTATATTTGGAATTACTGCAAGCTGCAACTTTGTAGTTGAGAATGAACTCTATCTATATTTGAAATTACTGCAAGCTGCAAAAGTTGGTTACCCATAAAACATAAACATTGAATAAAATCGAATATAAATAGAAAAAAAACGCAAAACGAGGTGAGATGAGATTTTATGGTCAAAAATTAGGGTGCAACATATATTCTCATAAAAGAATATCATTTACTAATAATCTTATTTAATTATATTCTCATAAAAGAATATCATTTACTAATAATCTTATTTAATTAGCCTATGGTAGACCTAAGGGTGGACATTCAGAGACTAACCGACAAAACCGACCGAACCGAATTGCATTTTAATCAACGGTTCGGGTTACTTCGGATTGCGAGTAATTGCGGAGCATTCAGTTGGGGAATATTAGGTAGTGGTGGTCGGGTTCGGTGATACATATTAAACTTGTCGGAATCCAAACCCGATTGATTCACAATTGTATTTGAGTTAAGGTAACATAAATCTTTGGCCCAATTTCTTAGTAATTAGGGTTACTTTCAATCTTCCATCATTTCCTATTTTCACATATTCACCGTCCTCACTCCTCTCGTCGTATCTTCTCCTAGGGTTCGTATTATCATCCCCATCGCCTCCACCACAACCAACATCCTCATCGTGACTCGTCCTTGATTTTCTCCAAGTTTCAATCCATCACCATCATCCTCATTGTCGCGTCATCCATGGCTATCTCAGTAAGTATTTACTCTCTCTCCCACTCATTTTTTTGTTTTATTCTTCACGATTCGCATAACTTATTGTTACTTATACTTTTTATGATATTTGTACTTTTGATTGTTGTTGTTGTTGTTATTGTTTGGCTTTATAGAGTTTTTAAGAAGTGGATTTTGACTTGAGGAAATCATGGTATTGAAGGAATGAATGGAATCAGCTTTGAGGAAACTCATGGATTGACAGGTTCAAAACTTCCTATTTTCATGGATTTTCCAAGTGAAACATGTATGATGAGGAAATTACTGTGGTAACTAAATTAGAATAACATTTATTATCTTGACAGGTTCAAATTCAAGCTTGGAGTACCATATGAAGAAAATGACTTTAGGATTTTGAGGAGTTCGATTTAGAGGTATGGCGCTCTATGTCTAGCTTTGTTTTCCTGAATTGACTCGCTTCAAATTATCTTCTTGGTATTCTTCTTAAATTCTGATGAATATATGATGGCGAAATGTCAAACTGCCAACCATGTATGATTTTTCATTTAAGTAAATAAATTTTTCTCTATGTTATATAATACTAGTATTTGTAGTCCCTATATGTGACAATCATTTTTATTTTAGTTATTTTACTTTGGCGTGTTATTGTTCCAAGACTCCAATAGATGATGTTAACCAGAAACAGGCGGAAGTAAGAGAGCCAAATTAAAATGGTTATATATGTAAGGACTAAATTGAAAACATGTTTCTTGTAGGGTCTAAATTGAAAACAAATGTCACGTATAGAGACTATAATATATTTGAATCCTTTTTGAAGATTCTAGGCAAATTTAGTTAAAGGTGTTAAATGCTTTTATTGAGCATTAGTTAGCATTTTTTTCCGGCAAGTGAAAATAATAATTTGTTTGTTTTCATGTTGAATGACTTTAAATATAACGTGGGTTTAACTATCTTCAATTTTTATATTTTTTTGTCAAATAGAGATTTTAGTTGTGCTACAACAAGCAAAATTTAAATGAATCAATATTGTTCAACTATAAGTTGTTTAGTAGAAAGTCTTGTTATATAACTGCTAGTATGGTGATATAGTGTTGTAGAATTTGCAGACATTTTAGGAAATATGACAGTAGTTGATGGTGCTATAGTGTTGTATAGTACATTTCTTAATGCATGCATTTTAGGAAATATGACAGTAGTTGATGGTGGTATACTATAAGTTGTCCTTATTGTAGGAAATATGACATTTTAGGAAATATTTTGCAGTAGTTGATTCATTTGGTACCAATATGACAGAAATTAAACAGTATGTATACACATTGATATTGTTATTATTTGTGTCTCTGTTTGGTTGGTTATTTGTGTTTATTTTGGTTGTTCTTGTTTGTTTAGTTATGGAGCAAGACACTCCAGTTATAATGAACATTCTCCAACCTCACATAATATACCAACAACCATAACACCTAATGTACCAACAATAACAACACTTATTGAACCAACCACAAATATTCCTCCTATTCCTAAGAAAAGAAGACCTAATGCAAATGGTAATAGACAGAGATATGAGGTTTGGGACCACTTTAACCTTATTCCTAATAGTGACCCCTACTGCTTCCTATAAGTACTGTCATCAAATGTACATGTGTGATTCTCGTGAAATACTCCCGAGGCAGCCGCGACAGTGGTTCCCGCCATCATTAGTCGCCTTTAATAACTACCTAGTTTACACTTTATTATTCTCTGGTTTTGTAATCCTTCTCATTTTAACAGCTCTCGAATATTGCTTGCAGTTTTAGAGGTTGTTGAACACTGACAAAAACATGGAGAAACCTGAAAATCATCTCAATAATGACGATATCACTGAAAAGTATGCTTATGCATTTGTTTTTGCTTATTTATGCTTCAATAATTGTACGCATAGTTTTTGTTTTAATCTCAATACATACTTAGGTCAATGAATTTGAGATTTCTAAGATTAGGTTAGTTCATTCAACATTCAAATTATTCAATTTATTTTTATTACTGTGTTTTCAGAGAAGCATCTCAGCTTGCTGCATTGTTGAAAGAGATGAAGGAAGGGCTTGATAATGTTAAGCGGAAAATTCAAACTTTAACTGCCAAGGTTCAAATGCACTTTTCGGACTTTTGGTTCATCGGTGAGTTTCATTATATGATAGCAATAAATAAGTTGATTTTATTTTGTGCGTGTGTCTCTTATATCAGGTGAAAGCTCAGAGTTCTACAGTAGATGGATTCAGTTATCTTGATGCTAAAAATTTGCTGCTTTTGAATTATTGTCAATCCCTTGTTTATTATCTATTGCGAAAGGCTAAGGGATATTCTATAGAAGAACATCCTGTAGTTCGAAGTATAGTTGAGATAAGATTATTTTTAGAAAAGGTCGGTTTTATTCTTGTGTGTCAGCTTTGTATGTTTACATTAGACAACGTGGATCTGACAACCAGCTTTCTGTTGCAGATTCGTCCAATTGACAAAAAAATGCAATACCAAATCCAGAAAGTTATTAAAGCTAGTGAAAGTGCAGCAAGTAATGCCAATGAGAAGGTGCCGGCTGCATCCAATAAGAGTGAGGAGGACGCTTCAAAGTATCGTCCAAATCCTGGGAATCTTATTAGCAAAATACAACCAACCGCCCAGGTGAGTTTATTTAATAATATCAAGTGAAAATTTGAGGTGCAAAAGATATTTGTCTTCTGTCTCTCTAACTTAATTAATTTATACTATAGGACGGCGATGGTGACGACGTGTATCATCCTCCTAAATTGGTCCCTACTTCTATGGATATAGATAAATCTTCAAAGCAAGAAAGAAATGCCATCCGAAGAGATAGAGAAATTCTGAAACATGCTCAGCAAAGTGATTTCATCAGAAGAATGGTGAATGATATGGAGGAAAGACCTGAAGAGGTGACATTATTAGTGTATTTTGGGTGTGGAAATCATAACAACTTCATGAGTTAATGTAATGGTTTGTGTTTGTTGCTTACTGCACAGATACATGATTTTATGGGAACTAGCAGAGAAGTGGATAAGTTTGCTCGCAAATTCGACGAGCGGTCTAGGCAAGAGGAGGAAATATTCAACCGTCTTCCTATGACAAAACAGGAGAGGAAGAAAGAGAAGTACATGAAGAAAGCAACAAATGGGTATGTGGAATGCCTGATATTTTGCCTTTATAAAAGCATCAAATGCGCGAAGGCAATTTTACTTGTTTTCTACTTACACTTACATCTGTCTTAATTTTTTCCAGGATGCAAGGCCTGACAGAAAATTTATTTGATGAAATCAAAGGATTGCCCTTTGAAGATGATACTGGTGAGCAAACAATGGGCTTCAAAAAGGGTCCCAGAAGAAATGGGAAGCATGGGAAGCTGAAGAAGCGAAAGGCATGTCTCTCTGATTTTGATCCTTCGAAATTGTTGCATGAAAACATAAATAATAATACACTTTTTTTTATAATTATACACCAATTATTTTGAACTATTTATTAATTAAACGTCACTGTCTTAGTATTGTACAGATCTAATGTTGTGTGACAAATTTATAGAATATATCATAGTATGTGATGAACCTCATGGATGCTCCTTAAAATCTAAGGTTAACCTTTAGCTAATAAATAGTTTTATTGGGATCCATATCTTCCAAATACCTGTTACCTTTTGCCTCTGGAGTAAGCATGATTATTTGGTTATTGGTCTAGTAACAGTTGTCATTTCACACTCAAAACCAATTTCTGGTTATGACTAATTTCTACTCTATTCACCATTTATGCATAGATTATTTTGAACTATGTAGTATGTACTATACAACATAATCGTAACTGGTTTGAAGATTACCATGGCAAGAAATATAATCAAAATTCCCTTTGAAACATATTATTACTCACTTTTAAAATTGAATTCCTTCCTATGTGCACTTTTCCTTTACTTTTGTCTGACAGCTTTTAATTCAAAAGTTATGAAGCAAAAAGTGATATTTCCTCAAGCCGTGTTCTTTTCCTTTCATCTACTTTTGGCATTCTGTGTCTCTGCGTGTAATACATATTCATATGTTGTGTGCAATTCAGTTTGTCGAATAATATTGTTTCAATTTTGGATTCCTTGCAGAGGAAACATTGACGAAAGAAAATTTGGGGTTCGGCCTACTACCGGACTACTGTTATTTGGAAACACTGCATGCTGTTGGAGGAAGTAATGCAAGGGTGTGTCAAAGCCCGAGTTGGATTGGTGTATTCTTCACTCATTGGCTTTTATGGTTCTCTTGGATTCTTATATGTGAGGTGTGGAACTGTGGCTAAACAACTAGGAATTGTAGATTTAATTTTTGTTATTATCACAGTCATCATCGAAATTGGCTCGTGCTTAGTTCATTGAGAACTTGGATTTGAGATTTTAGAGGAAATGAAATTATTGTTTATTGGCTGATGTATTTTATTTTAAACAAGTAGGGATTGGAGATTTTGGTTGTTTCATTATTTTGCTATTATGATTATTGTTTATTATTATTATTATTATCATAATCATCATCCTAATCTGTTGGGGGTGCTTCTACATGAAAATTTCTAAATTTCTCACAAAAAATGCAGATTAGGATTTTTGAGAAAAAAATAAAAGCACCGGCGAAATGATGATATCAACAGGTATTGTATGCAGTAGATTTCAAAACGAAGGTACGGATACTTATTTATTATGGGGGTAAATTTGATAGGGACTGCCTAGTATACTACATGGGGGGAAAAACAAGCATGCAGTGAAAATAGATCTTGATAGGTGAAGATTATTTGAAGCAATAGGTATTGTGAAAGAGTTAACTGGGTTTGTGCATATTGATTATTGGTTATGGTGGTATAACAGTGATGCTGATAGGAATGGTTAGTGACAAAAATGTTTCTAATGTAGATCAATATGCTATGGAAATGAAGTGAGTGAGAGAGAGAGAGAGAGCATTAAATTGAGTTTTAAATAATGCATACACTTATCAAGAGAAGTGACGCCTTTTTTTTTTATTTGAATTATTTTAATAAATAATATGAAATATTGATTATTTGAGAATTTAAATAAATAAAAATTGATTATTTAAAAAAAATCTGACTTTGCACTATATTTAACAGTGCACTCAATTAATATAAAAATTAAGTACAAAGTGCACTATATATTGAAACTCCATACTTGTGCATAAAATGTTGTTGTAAGGGTCAATTTTCATTAACCTTGTCCATGTCAAAAAAAAATTAAACGAGGGTTAAAAATTAGAAAAATATAGATTCACATATCATGTCTAAGAGAATTAAATAAAATGAAAATCCACCGAAGTTATTAATATTGATCTGTAAGCATAACATAATGCACGTGAAGTAATCAAATCAATATTAACAACAACAATAACCACAAAGAGTTATATGCAAACTATGCATTCTCTTAAACTACATGATTCGAATATAATCAATCGCCACTAAAGCAAACATACAAAGATCTTTACCCAACCACTAAGGGAGCCACACAAAGATTTTTACACACCACTAAAGCAACCACACAAAGATTTTTACACACCACTAAAGCAACCACACAAAGATTTCTACCCTTCACTAAGGAAACCTGAAAAAGATATTTACCTGCTGTCGCGACGCAAAATGTACCACGAGCGCTCGCACGCTCGAGAAGATAATGGAGTCACCACCGAACTTTAATTATTCTAGAAGGAAAGATAAAATGTCGATAAAACCTTTAAAGAAAAAGAAGATGGTCGTAGCAACCAAATTCGGGTCCGGGAGTCAATTATACAAGGGGAAGGTATTAACACTCGTTGTACTCAACGAAAACCATTTAGTTAGATTTGCGAATAGAATTTTAGCTTATGTTATTTGCTTTCTTCAAGGTTATTGAAAATGTAAGGAAAAGGAATAAGAAAAGGTCGTAAAAGAGGTTTTATTAGGGTGGTTGACAAGATTGTCAGTCTTGCTCCTACGTATCCTCATATGCGATGAGAAATTCAAAGCCACGTACTAGCAAGAAAAATATATTTTTGGATATTTTATTATAGTTCTTGACGAGACGTTGAATATTGCTCCTACGTATCCTATGTCGTGATGATGAATTCCAAACTATGTAGTTCTGGGTAGAAAATGTTTGTAAATTGGTTGATTTTAGTAAAGAATGTTTAGTTCACATTCAAGTGGTAAACATTGCTTGCTACCCATTCATAAAAGTTTGGAACTTTGTGAGTTGCATCATGATGGACAACATAACTTGGATTCTCACAGAGTTATGATTTCATCATATTCGAGCGAAAAATGTTCTTACTTCTTGCACACGGTAGGAGAAAATCTTTGTCCCCATCGTCTCAGAATGGACGAAGCATCTTTCGTGTTGTAAAGGTTTGACATCGCGCTAAGGCAAAAAATGGGTTTGATTTGTTAGGATTGTTTTGGGTGGATGTCGAGTACTCGAACAGTAGGATAATTACGGTTATCATCCAAACACTCGAGATTATGAGGGACAAGTACATTCAAACTAACCTTTTTTTTTGAGTTATTTATAAAATTTGTGTGGCACATCAAGTCGTGTTTCTTTAATAAATGACGACTATTCACGCGGGAGGCTAATTACGACCATCACACAAATACTCGGAATTAGAAGGGAAAAGTATGTCCCACATAACCTTTTTCATCCACAAAAGAATAAATTGGATTTGTTTATTTAATGTGTTTTGAAGCGGGTGACAAACACTCGAACAATAGGCTAATTATGACCATTATTCAAATATGCGGGGTTAGAAGGGACAAACACGTTCAACCAAACTATCATACCCTAATTTTTTGTCCCTAATATCTCACTTCATTCACCACATTCATCATTATATATGAGTGTGTTTTTATGTATCACTAACCCATATCAAATACAAGATGTGTATGTTTGCTTGCTTTACAAGTTAAGTGGTCCCCCAAAGGCTCAAAGCAGATGAATTATCAAATGATGAGCATCATATTCAAAATATCAACTCCCTTATTCATCCATGAATATATAGAGTTTCCATTTCATCAAATATCAAGTAAAAGATTGCATAATTTCAAGATCAACAAGGCTCAAGTCTACAAATGCACCTAAATTAGGGTTTTAACCTAATTCAGTCCCTGGTTGACTTTTGGAGCAAGGCATAACCAAATACCTCAAGACATGTCTCAAGGAACTCAAATGAATCACATTATTCCATTCGTATGTTTGGTTTGATCCAAAGAACTTGATTCATAAGTGTCGCTTGCGCGAAAATAAGGTGCCGGCATGACAGAAGAGTCGCCACCTTTCGTTATTTATCCCTCAGAACGGGAAAGGAAACGATCGGAGAAACCTGACGAATAAGGGTAAGACAAGGTCGTCGCAACCATTGTCTGGGTTCGGGAGTCGGTTACGCAAGGGGAAGGTATTAGCACCCCTCACGTCCGTCGTACTCGACGGGATCCTCGCTTGTTTGTTTACTTGGACGGGTTGGTTATAATCTATCTACCTATCAAGGCTGGCTGAAAAGGAAAAGAAAAATGACTCGGCAAAGCGTCGCACTTTATGCCTACGTATTCCCGTCTGGAACGAGAAATCAGAGTCAACGTAGTTCGGCTAACTACGGGTGAAGGATGGGGGAAAGGTTGCTCGCTAGGACATCGCATCCTATGCCTACGTACTTTCATCTGGTATGAAAGATCAGAGCAAACGTAGTTCGGGAAACTACAGGAAACAGCTCAACTAGGAGGGAGACTATCAAGTCCTACTGTTATCATGCCATGGATTCATCCTATGGTTGAGGTTTGAACAGGGAACTCCTAGATGTTGTCATGCATAGGTTTCAACCTAAAAGTCTATCATCAAATCCTCATCAGAGGAAATGAGAGTCCTAAGGGATCATGTCAATGATACACCAAAACAGACAAAAACATCAGCTTTAACAGTAAAGTGCATGCAATGCAAGTGAGGGAGGAAATGTGTGTGGGGTTTCAGCCTCCACAAGCTCATCTCAACCTCAAGCCAGTCATGAAATAACAGTAATCATACTGAAGATAATCAACATGCTATCAAGCAAAAACAGTAAACTGCAATCATACAGATAAAGGAAATGAAGTGCCATCAGGCAAACAAAACACACCTGAGAAAGAATCACCTATTCTCTAATCCTAACCCTAATCACAGAGTCTGAACAGATCTAAGCAAAGCTCTCAAGCAAAACCCTAAACAAGAGAAATCATTCCCAATCTTCAAGCTTCAGAACAAGCTTACCAAAGACAGGGAGCTAAGCAATCAAACTCATAGTGTCTTCCTCAGGAAAGCACTAAGAGGTGTATACTCAGGAGTCATACCCTATGTGGCTCAACCACTGTGATCAGTTTATATTCCTCCTCAGGAGAAATTAAACTCACAAGCAGGCTCCAACATCACTGGATATTTAGGAAATCCTATTTAAACTAGTGGAACTAAATGAATAGACTCATAGGACCTTCCTCAGGAAAATACTAGGAGGCTTCCACTTAGGAGTTGTATCCCATGTGGCTCAACAACATGTGATCAGTTTACATTCCTCCTCAGGAGAAATTAAACTCACAAGTTGGCTCCTACATCATTGGATACTTAAGAAATCCTAGATCAACTAGTGGAACTAAGTGAACAGACCCATAGGACCTTCCTCAGGAAAGTACTAGGAGGCTTCCACTTAGGAGTTGTATCCCATGTGGCTCAACAACATGTGATCAGTTTACATTCCTCCTCAGGAGAAATTAAACTCACAAGTTGGCTCCAACATCATTGGATACTTAAGAAAGAGGTGAGAAGGAAGAATGAAAGTCATTCATAGTGCCTTCCTCAGGAAAGTACCATGAACTTCCTTCAAACTTCAAGCTCTCAAACCTCACCAACAGGGCATCAGCCAAGCTCTGGGTCTCTGCATCTTGATCTACAAGCTTCCCTTCATGATGCTCTCCATCAATATCCTCAAGGCAACACAAGCCCTTCATCAAATTCCTCAGAATGAACCCCACAGATGAACAGATAACCCACTGAACAAACCAAATCATCAGGCAATCTCAGAAAATACCTAAAAATACTAAACTAATGGGGAAAAATCTAACAAATATTCATAA